CCCCTTTGGTTCCACAGGGGGGAGGGGGGGGGAGGCTTAGCAGCCCCCCCTCCCCCCTTTCGGCACCCGGGAAGCTCCCCCCCCTTCCCCCCTTACGAAAGGGAAGGGGTGCTTAGCTAACCCCCCCTCATTTGACCCCCCTCTGCGGGAAGCCCCCCCCCTTCACTCCATTTTTCACTCCCCTGCCGGAAGCTCCCCTCCCCTCCCCCCCTTTCCAAAAGGGAATGGGCGGCTTAGCTACCACACCCCTCCTTTGAATTCTCCCTGCCGGACGATCCTCCCCCGTCGCCGTCGTCGTTGCCGTCGCCGTCGCTCGACGTCTTCATACGACGCTGTCGTCCTCGTCGTCGTTGTCGCCGCCGTCGCCGTCATTGTCGCCGTCTTCGCATGACCTCGTCGTGGTCGTCACGACGAGGACGAGGTCATGCGAAGACGGCGACGGACGACGGACGACGCGCGACCGACGACCGACGACGACGACGACCCAGGATCAGAGAAATCGAGACCACGACCCAGGGGCTGAGAAAACGAGGAAACGAAGCAGGGTCCGAGAAAAGGAGACCACGGCCCAGGGGCCGAGAAAACAAGAAAACGAACCAGGGTCCAAAAAAACGAACCAGGGTCAGAGAAAACGAGACTGCGACCCAGGGGCAGAGAAAACGCGAAAACGAACAAGGGTCCGATAAAACGAGACCACGACCCAGGGGCCGACAAAACGAGACAACGAGAAAACAAACCAGTGCCCGAGAAAACGAGACCACGACCCAGGGGCCGAGAAAACGAGACAACGAGAAAACAAAACAAGGCCCGAGAAAGCGAGAACACAACCCAAGGGCCGAGAAAACGAGAAAACAAGACAACGAGCCAGGGGCCGAGAAAACGAAACAAAAACTCAGAAGCCGAGAAAACGAGACAATCAACCAGGGTCTGAGAAAACAAAACCACGACCCAGATGCCGAGAAAACGAAAAAACGAAGCAGGGTCCGAGAAAACTGGGCCACGACCCAGGCCGAGAAAACGCGAATATCGGTCCTAGAAAACGAGACCACGACCCAGGGGCCAAGAAAACGAGAAAACAATAGAAGGAATCAGGGGCAGAGAAAACGAGACTACGAACCAGGGGCCGAGAACACGAGGAAATGAGAAAACAAAACAGGGCACAGAAAAAACACGAACACGAACCAGGGTCCGAGAAAACACGACCACGACCGAGGGGCCGAGAAACGAGAAAACGAAGCAAAGTCCGAGAAAACTGGACCACGACCCAAGCGCCGAGAAAATAAGGAACGGGAACACGAACCAGGGGCAGACGAGAAAACGAACCAGGGTCAGAGAAAACGAGACAACGACCCACGGGGCAGAGAAAACGAGAAAACGACAAAACGAACCATGGCCCGAGAAAACCAAACCAAGACCGAGGGGCCGAGAAAACGAGAAAACGAATCAGGGCCCGAGAAACAAGACCACGACCCAAGAGCCGAGAAAACGAGAAAACGAAACGGGGTCCGAGAAAACGAGACCACGACCAAAGGGCAGAGAAAACGCGAAAACGATAAAACAAACCAGGGCCGACAAAACGAGACCACGACCTAGGGGCCGAGAAAACGAGAAAACGAGAAAACGAACCAGGGCCCGAGAAAACAAGACCACGACCCAGGGGCCGAGACAACGAGAAAACGACAAAACGAACAAGGGACCGAGAAAACAAGACCACGACGCAAGGGACGAGAAACCAAGACAACGAACCGGGCGCCGAGAAAACGAAACAACAACCCAGGGGCCGAGAAAACGAGAAAACGATCTGGGGCCCGAGAAACCAAGACCACGACCCAGGGGCCGAGACAACGAGAAAATGAGACAACGAACTGGGGCCCGAGAAAACGAGACCGCGACCCAAGCGCCGAGAAACCGAGAAAACGAGAAAACGAACCAAGATCATAGAAAACAAAACCACAATCCAGGAGCCGAGAAACGGAGAACACGAGAAACCGAACCAGGGTCCGAGAAAACGGGACCACGATCCAGGGGCCGAGAAAACAAAAAACAAACCAGGGTCAAACTAACAAGGCTCCGAGGAAAAATGACACCGCGACCCAGGGGCCGAGAAAACAAGAAAACGAGATCACGAACCAGGGCCCGAAAAAAACAACACAAAATAACAAAAGCCAAGAAAACGAGAAAACGAGAAAACAACCCAGGGGCGGGGAAAACGAGACCACGACCCAGGGGCCGATAACACGAGAAAACGAGAAAACGAACCAAAGTCCGAGCAAACGAGACCACGACCCATGGGCACAGAAAACGCGAAAACGAACCAGGGTTCGAGAAAACACGACCACGACCGAGGGGCCGAGGAAACAAGAAAACGAGAAAACGAACCAGGGTCCGAGAAAACAAAACCACGACCCAAAAGACGATAAAACAAGACAACAAGACAACGAACCGGAACAGAGAAAACGAGACCGCGACCCAGGGGCCGAGGAAGAAAAAAACGAGAAAACGAACCAGGCCCCGAGAAAACGAGACCACGACCCAGGGGCCGAGGAAATGAGAAAACGCGAAAACGACCCACGACCCAGGGGCCGAGAAAACCAGAAAACGAACCAGGGTCCGAGGAAACCACGACCCAAGGGCCGAGATCACCGGAAAACGCTTGGTTCGAGAAAACGAGACTACGACCCAGGAGCCGAGAAAACGAGGAAACAAGAAACCGAAGCAAGGTCAAAGAAAACGAGAAAACGACCCGGGGGTCGAGACGAGATAACGAGAATACGAAGCAGCGTTCGAGAAACCAAAACCATTACCTAGGGGCCGAGAAAACGAGAAAACGAGGCAGGGTCCGAGAAAACTGGACCACGACCCAGGCGCCGAGAAAATGAGAAAACGAGAAAACGAACCAGGGTCAGAGAAAACGAGACCGCGACCCAGGAGCCGAAAACACGAGAAAACAAGAAAACGAACCAGGGGCCGAGAAAACGAGAAAATGATAAAGGAATCAGGGCCTGAGAAAACGAGACTACGAACCAGGGGTCGACGTTATTCTCCAATGCGATCTCTAACGCTGCGGTGCGCACCTGTCGTCAGGGATTCCGCCATTTTGCCAGAGCCCCGGAAGGGAGGGGGGGAGGTAGGTAGCTTCGGAAGGCCCCCTCCCCCCCCCTTTGCAAAGGAGGGGGGAGGGGGGTAGCTTGAAGCCGCCCCCCCCCCGTGTCCAGATCAAAGAAGGAAGGAGGGGGGTAGCTTCCGAAGCCCCCCCCCCTTTGAAAGGGAAGCCTGGGCTCACCTTCTGCTCCGGAAAAGAGAGGGAGGGGGGGAATAGCTTCGAAACCCCCCTCCCCCCCTTTAGCCAGGGCCCCCCTAGCTTAGAAACCTTTTCAAAAGAGGGGGGGGTAGCTTCGGAAGCCCCCCCCCCCGTTTGGAATCGAAGCGAGGGGGGGGGGGGGAGGTAGCTTGAAGCTGGGGCCCCCGGCGCGCTCTTTCGGCCCTTAGAGAGCGGGCTCCCGCTCGAGACTTCCTCCCTCACAACTTACTCACGAGGCTCCTCGGGGTGCTCAAGTGCTATGCCTGCTATGGTGCGCCGATTGCCCGCCTCGGATTCGAACATGAAGTGCGGGGCCCTTAGGGACGGAGGTCCCGCTCGAGATGTCCTCACAATCCCCGCACAGACGAAGCTCTTTGGGGTGCTCAAGTGCTATGCCTGCTATGGTGCGCGAGTGGCCCGCCTCGGATTCGATGGTGCGCCGATGGCCCGCCTCGGATTCGACCATGAAGTGCGGGGCCATTAAGGAGGGGGTTCTCGTTCGAGACTCCCTCACACTTCCTCGCAGACGAAACTCATTGGGCTGCTCAAGTGCTACACCTGCTATGGTGCGCCGGTGACCCGCCTCGGATTCGAACATGAAGTGCGGGGCCCTTAGGGAGGGGGGTCCCGCTCGAGACTCCCTCACATTTCCCTCATAGACGAGACTCATTGGGGTGCTCAAGTGCTATGCCTGCTATGGTACGCCGATGGCCCGCCTCGGATTCGAACGTGAAGCGCGGGGCCCTTAGGGAGGGAGGTCCCGCTCGAGATTTCCTCACAATCCCCGCACAGACGAAGCTCTTTGGGGTGCTCAGGTGCTATGCCTGCTATGGTGCGCCGATGGCCCGCCTCGGATTCGACCATGAAGTGCGGGGCCATTAAGGAGGGGGTTCTCGTTCGAGACTCCCTCACACTTCCTCACAAACGAGACTCATTGGGCTGCTCAAGTGCTACACCTGCTATGATGCGCCGGTGACCCGCTTCGGATTCGAACATGAAGTGCGGGGCCCTTAGAGAGGGGGGTCCCGCTCGAGACTCCCTCACATTTCCCTCACAGACGAGACTCATTGGGGTGCTCAAATGCTATGCCTGCTATGGTACGCCGATGGCCCGCCTCGGATTCGAACATGAAGTGCGGGGCCCTTAGGGAGGGGGGTCCCGCTCGAGACTCCCTCACAATTCATTCACAGACAAGGCTCCTTGGGCGCTCAAGTGCTATGCCTGCTATGGTTTGCCGATGACCCGCCTCGGATTCGACCATGAAGTGCGGGGCCCTTAGAGCGTGGGGTCCCTCTCGAGACTTCCTTCGCCACAGTTCCCTCACAGACGAGGCTCCTTGGGGTGCTCAAATGCTATGCCTGCTATGGTACGCCGATGACCCGCCGCGGATTCGAACATGAAAGGCGGGGCCTCAAGGCGTGGGGTTCCTGCTCGAGCCCTTTCGCAGTTCACTTCGACCAATGGTCGATGGTCATGCTGGCATGGTGAATGATGCTAAGCGAATGGTCACTGAGAGTGCGATGAGTATGAGTATGATGATGATGACGATGATGATGCGGATGAAAATAAAGATGATGATGCTGCTGATGATGATAATAATGATGCTGATGATTATGATGATGATGCTGATGATGACGGTGACGATGATGATGATGATGATGCTGATTCTTTCCTCGGCGCGCATCTGCACATCGGAGGAGCTCGAGGGTGTGGGCTCGCATGGCTATGTTCAGCCACTGATACCAACAGAAAACTTGTAAATCGCAAAGGAAGAAATGCACATAGCAGATGAAACGGTTCAAAGATAAACCACGTTCAGGTACGGGCGCGAGTAAGAGCAGCATTGCGAATCTTCAATAATTCAGATCGTTTCCTCTTTGCCTCAGCGGTGTCAGCCGAGCAACCCATGTACTTCCAAAGAAAGTCGACTCGGGCAAGAACCCCTGGGCGGCGGAGACGACAAGACTGCAGCTCCCCAAGGAACCATTCCGCGCGGGATTCGTCGTCCATGCCGCCAATGGGATCAGGAAGCCGCGAGGCCAGCACCTCCCGATCAGGAAAGTCAACACGGCCACCGCCAGCACCACCATCTCCATCCAGACGGAATGCACGAGCAACATTACCAGGAGGATCGCCACACCCAGCATCGGCAAACATTTCGGCAGGATGATCGTCGTCATGAGAAGCGAATAGAACGGCTTTGACATGATGGTCACTGCGATCGGCACCTGCGCGAACGTAGGTACTTGCAACAAACCCGTGAGCATCACCATCACGAACATCAGCGGCTCCACGAACGGCAGCAGCACCTCGAACACCGAAGAGGAAAGGATCGGCGGCAAGCCCTCCACCTTCACGAGCGCCACCGTCACCACGAAGATCTGCAGGAATGCCCGCACACACCCCATCTCCACGAAAAACACCGTCTCCACGAGAATCTGCAGCTCCAGCATGTCCAACAGCGGCTCGGACAGGGGCATCAGCGGCTTCACGAACAGCAGCTGCTCCTCGAACGCAGTATTGGGGATGATCAGCTGCCAGCCCTCCGCGATGATCCGAGCCTTCACGAACGTCAGCATCACCACGAAGATCTGCAGGAACAGCCGCACGACTGCCATCTCCACGAACGTCATCAGCTCCACGACTATCTGTAGCTCCAGCACCTCCAACAGCGGCACTGGCAGGAACATCAGCAGCTCCACGAAGGGCATGTGCTCCACGAGTGCCGTCTTGGAAACGATCAGCTGCAAATCCTCCGCGAAGATCGGCACCTTGACGGACGTCATCGTTCCCACGAAGATCTGCAGGAACATCAGCACACGGGCCATCTCCACGAGCGTCAGCGGCTCCACGACCAGGATCTGCAACGGCTCCAGCACGAGCGTCCGCCCCACGAACGTCAACGTCCTCAAGAAGATGAGGAAAACCTCGATGAGGAACACCGGCACGCTCTCTGGCAGCATCCGCCGGCGGGCGCCCCGGAACAGCAAGATCAGCAACCAGCTCAGCAGGATCAGCGCCTCCAGGAAGAACTGCCACCTGATCGGCATGGCGACGAGGAGCCTTTCGAGGACGAAGCACAGCGCCTCCACCAGCGCGAGCGTCAGGGTGACCACAACCTTGAACCCCTCGACCATCACCGCCAGACCATGGATCACCTTGACCGTCATGCCATAGGTCCCGCCCACGACGTCCACGTCGCCCCCCTCCACCATGTTCGTCGTCGTCAGGGCCATGCCCATGATCATCTCGTCCATCTCCACCGTCATCGTCGTGCCTATGCTGCGCAGTTTGCCCAGGAGGCCGCCTGAAGATAAAGGAGACATGTGACTCTCCCGCCGAGGAAGCATGACCGTGATCCACGACCACAGCGCCAGGGAGGGCATGTAGAAGGGACTGCACGATCAGGATGGCCTGGCTGTTCATCATGGCCCCGTCCACCTGCGGCAGCAGGATGAAATTGGCGATGATCCGATCACAGTGCGTGTTCAGCTTCACGCGACATTGACGCCCTGCCGCCAATTTGTCACCCAGCCAAGCAAGTCGGGAGGCGGAGACCATCAGCCGAAGGAGGGAGACGCAGCCGCGCGGAGGAGGGGAGGGGAGGAAATGGGGCGGCACGCGCAGCCCAGTGGCCCCTGAGACCAGCAAGAGCTAGACCCACAATGGCTATGATGATGATGATGATGATGATGATGATGATGATGATGATGATGATGATGATGATGATGATGATGATGATGATGGTAATGGTGATGGTGGTGATGGTGATGGTGAGGAGCAAGAGGAGCAGGAGGAGGAGGAGGAGGAGGAGGAGGAGGAAGAAAAGAGGGGGTGAGATCTCCTTCGCAGGGGGGGGGCAGAGAAAACAAGAACCCCACCCTGGATGTGGGGAACAGCTATGCCTGGATTTCTATTCATATCCAAAGTATGGGGTTCTTCTTATCAGTGTGACACCTCCTCTCCTTCTCCATCCGCCCTCTCCTGACTCACATTCGGACTCACTCAGGCTCAGACTCGCTCACACTCAGACTCACTCACGCTCAGACTCGCACTCTGACTCACTCATGCTCAGACTCAACACTCAGGCTCACTCCTACTCGGACGCAACCATCGTCGAATGCTCTCACGCTCGGACTCACACTCAGAGTCACTCACATTCAGACCCACTCACACTCAAACTCGCCCGCGCAGACCAC